CCAGTGACCAACATGCTGAAAGGCCATGTCATTGCTGGATGTCCAATATTTCGGGATGATTCATGTTTAGTGACCTCATCCATATCCAAAAGACGAAGTTTCATAGGAGGCAGTCCTGTCTTTTGGTTCTTCTGTTTATCGGATTGGGAAAGCATAACTCTGATTTCTATTTAAGGGTATTTTATAGTTCGAAATATTTTTTTCTTCATTGTAAGAAGAATTTCTACGAGAGAATACACACCATAAAATGCATATGATTAGTAATACTATTACGAAGATGATTGCATACTGAAAAAAGAAGGAATTAGTTTCACCTGCTTCTGGTCCAGTAATAGAGTGCAAGTGGGGTAATGCTAAAGTAGTATTGGAGATATCAGTTCCCCCAATTACCTGCAGGGTCTCAAAAGAATCAGGACTGGTTTTTTTTTCAAAACTGGCTAAGTGTTTTTTTATATGAGTATTGGCCTCATGAAGGAGGGAATCTTTCTTTGATAATGCCTTTTTTAGGCGAGCATTGGCATCTTGAAGGTGGTGGTCTTTTTCTAATATTACTTTTTGCAACACCTCCAATATATCTTCCTTAGCAAGTTTTTTATCAAGTTCCATTACTTTATCTTTGAGCCCGATCTTACAGACAATACTTCTTAAATTATCATGAAGCCAATCTGGTAACTTTGGCATTTCTACTGGCTTTTCTATCACTCCTCCCATTACATCCAAATCATAATATGTACGCTCTAGATCTATGTCCTCCAACTTACCTTCCAATTCACGTATTTTAACTTCAAGAGAAAGAATCTGGACCTTGTCAGCGGACGAAGCTTTCTGGGCCAAAGTTGCCTCTCTCTCTAGTATTTTAATATTGGATTTGAGCGATTTGATTTCAGCAGAATATTTGGCTTTGAGCTCAGTATTAGCTGTATTCAGCCGACTAAACTTATTGTTAAAGCCCGAACAGATACGATTAAAATCCTTCACTCGCTCTAAATATATGTTCTGCAGGTCTTTATAATCATTAGCAATATCAGAAGCAGTTTTGATGTTACCGCGCAATGCTTTCTCAAGTTCTGATTCTCGGATGCTACCAAGCCGATTACCTGAGGAGGTGTGTTTACTTAGTGGACCCTCAACCACCCCTCTATTTTCGATATCTCTTAAAGTATGTACATTGGGCATATTTTTTTTCGGCTTAATCATTAGTATACTAAAAAAAATATGAGCAAAATTTTGAGACTGCGCAGTAAGCACTTTATTTTTTATGGATACTAGCATATTACCAATATTAGCATAGTACTGATACTACCATATAACTGATACTAATACTACCGATACTATCGATACTACTATATTATCGACACTAGCATAGTACTAATACTACCATATAACTGATACTAATACTATCAATACTACCGATATTAGCATAGTACTGATACTATTGTATTACTGATATTACCATAGTATCAATATTTTTTGTGGATTTTTTATTTATAGTGAAAAAAAAATCTTTAGAGATTAGTTACTAATATGATTACACCCCCGCTTAAAACACATATTAGTTCCAGGGCTAGATACTTATCCTCCGCAGATTACAAAGATATCATGCAATATCGTGATATGAAGTCTAAACCTTTAGCTCAGCTAAGTAAAAAATATAATATATCGAATAGTCGCTTATATCAAATTTGGAGAGGACAAGAGTTTAATAGCATTCAATGGAATGATTTAGCAGTCACATTACTCCAACAACACGACCGATGAAGGAGCAGGTAGAGGGAAGAACAATTAAATGATGAGCACTAATCCGTATTTTTCTTTCAGCAAGTATGAATGTTATAAATAAACAGAATGAAGAGCACCAAGCTGAAAGAGATTTTCAAAATAAATTTAATACTGCCTTTACAGCACTGGAAAACAAGATACACGATGCTGAAATTAGCAAATCTACTGATCCGGTTTCAGAAGAAAGTGCAGGTAGTAAGGCAAAAAAGACTGGAGGAAAGAAACGATCCCAAGGGGGTCAATCAATACCTGGAACAAAAAAAGAAATTATTTCGCCTACTGACTCCTCTGAAGATGTCTTGGATTTGTATAAGAGAACTGATAATACTTTAGAAAAAATTAAAGCATCAGGTCGTCCTCTTATTTCCAAATAATTATTCGTCCTATTCAATCTGACTGCGCGAACTATTATAGTATTCTATGATTTCCAAATTCGATTGAATGCTAGAAAATAATGCCTTTTCGAGCTCTTTCATACGAATTGCCATATCTTCATAACTCATACAATTTATGCATTTTTTTTTAAGTTCTTCTCACCAGTTAGACTAGAAGAATCGGTAGATACTTGGTCCTGATCTTTTTTTGGCTGATCTTTGACTACCGGAGCCTTGCTAAAGGTTGGGATAATATATGCCTTTCCATGTAACTTTATGCGAAACTGATTTTTATTCGGCTCGGGGATGCCTTGAACCTTCTGAATGTTTGACATACCAAAAAATAGCATTGGTTCTGTTTCACCATTATCAATACGAATAAAATTTCCAATAATGGTGATCGTCTTATCTTCTTTATCCTTCAAAGTAACTGGCACGTCTGTATACCATCCTAATGAATCGGTGATATGCTTAGAATTGCCCTTTATGGCAAAATTAGATGGTTTATCAGCCTTCCATCCAAGCACCTTAATTGCTGGGTCATTTATACCACCGAACTCACTGCCGGGATCTAAAAAAGATTCAGAAATAGTTAAGTCATTTATATTAGCATTCAGATATTGTAAAGATGACAACCACTCATCTGATTCTTTCGATTCCTCCTCCTGAGCCTTTCGAGACAAGCACATTTTTCGTATCAGTGGTGAGAGCTTAGACAATAGCTGATCGTACGTTTCAGGTTGGCTAGATTCTAGGGGTGAGATTGCATTAGTATCACTGGCCAACTTATCATTTACCTGTTTTTTTTTTCCGGTGCATAATACC